ATTGCTCTACGGTCATAATATCAATGCGATACGATATGATGACACTGCACTATGGTTGAAGAGGAGGCGAGCTTTCTCCAGAGGTGAGGAAGTCGACGTTAACCTTTATATGTAGTATCGAGTATGCACAACTTCCGTCCGTGTAGCGTCATCCAGACTACATACTTACCCATACAATACTTACCAATTGCAACTTGAACTCGGAGTCAAAATCGCCACAAGCAGACTAGGTTGTTGGGTTCTCCCTCTTTCACCTTGGTTCTCTAAGGTTCCAGCGTCCTCATAGGCTCACACTCACTAGTGTAGTTGCTTCAAGTTTCTTCTAGTATCCTGATCACTTGCTTCTAAGTTGCGGAAGTCATCTTCGAAGGGCATGGACAGTAATAATGAAATAGGAAGATTTGCACCTTCGCACCTCTTCAATTGCGCGCCGGTGGTTACTCCAACTTCACCGCCGCGTGAAATTGAGGCAATCAAAGACATGCATTGTTATAGATTTGCGGGTGTGTCTCAAATTAAAAAGCGTGTCTTGAGGCGTGTCTTAAGATTCGAGAACCACTACAACTTCTTTGATATCAATCGATAGGACGACCACGCGCTTGGGTTATGGTTAGCAGAATATGAATTGCGAGTTCTCAGTCCACAAGACATGCACTAATAGAGTGCTATAAACTCTGAACCGTGTACCTATAGGTACCTATCTACGTCCTTCCAAGTTCTTCCTGCGAGTGATGCTCAACCAAATCGGACTCGGACTGTGATCGATTGCATGTATCTACAAGCGTCGCAGTAGAATAGCCTCTGGTGGCTCTGGAGTTACGAACGATAAACACACGATAAAATCAAAAGATGGTTTCTTCAATGCTCATCTATGAACTTTGTTCCAAGGCCCAGCAAAAGTAATAGTAATGAACAAAGTCTAATATCGCACTCGTATTCTCACGGGAAATGAATCTAAAGAAATCGTTCGAATTTATCACTCTGAGGTAGCATACGATGAGGAGCACTGAGAACAGTGAGATCAACCATTGATAGGACAAAAAGTTCATGAGCCGGGTGAGCAGCCTGCATTTTGTAGAACATAGATCAATGGACTTCTCTCCTCGACTGAAGATTATCAGCGAGACGAGTTCATTGCAGACTAATCAGTAGTATTGCGACGAAAAATATCATCCCAGATATCTTATTCAGCACCCCCTTGTGGTTCATGGTGGTCAGCAGAATAGCTCCAATGGGTCTTTATCCAAGCTCGTCACAAAGTATGGCTAACACTCTTCACGGTAAAACACCCGCATTCATCCTCGGGCTCGACGCGAGCCACGTGACCGTCACTGTTGAGCATGTACGTTCGTAAACTTTACCAGGTTCTCACTGCCATTCCCTGCGTAAAGCCGTTCTTAGGTGTCCAGCAGGCGGCCCGCTAGGCCTAATCTAACGCAAAGGTGATTTGCTTACCTTACAGGCACAACCTATTGCTTTGCCTGGGCCAAGCGCAGCGGTAGAACAATCTGTAGCGCGAAGGGGGCCTTGTGGTTGGTCTAAGAGTTTGAAGTATGTATCTCGGCCATGACGACTTCCTCCACCAAAAGTTTCTGGTCCACAATCATAAGTTGTGATTTCGATTACTGATCATTATGCACGGCAGTCTCTCTTTCATTGACATAGATCTTCATAAGTAATGACCAGGATTGGTTATCGATGCATCGTAGAACACAGTATAACCATGACATACCGAATCTTAAGCTCAGTCAGTTTCTTCAAAACTCATTTCATATGATGCCCTCTGGTCAATGGTCTTTGAGCGGGTCTCCGATTGCAGAAAACTTTGGCGTAGGTCTTTTGCTCTTGTGATTATTTTCAGCCCCACAGGAACAAATTTCACGTAGCGCGATCGGGTGACACACGGATTCAATGAGAGAGAGTTGGTGGTCGTGGTACCATAAGTCTCGAAAACGATACACTTCCCGTGGCACTCTTTCTCCACTGTATCTTCCACCAATCACTGCCAGTCTCCACTTGCGATCCATATCAGAATTGCAGAAAGAGAAATCTGATGATGCTCCAAGTATGTGTCAGAGAGGGAGCGAAACACTCGCAAGGTGAACAAATGTCGAAAACTTCTGGGATAAAGTGCGTTGTCCACCTCACAAAATACCGTTCAAGCACTAGATGATGTGGAGCACTGTAATACTCTTTCTCGTGTTTCTGTTATCGCTTCGAGTCTTCAAGACTTTGCAACTACGTGCCAAATTACCGCCTGGGCCTAAAGGTCTTCCAATTCTCGGGAACCTTCTTCAGCTTCAAAGAACTCGGCCGTGGTTAGCTTTTGACAAATGGACTAAACAATATGGTAAGAAGGAGCATGCATCCTTTAATTTATCACTGATTTATCTGACGCAACAGGGCCTATTGTGTATCTAAACATTGCTGGTCAGAACACAGTCGTGTTGGGAACTCGGAAAGCAGCAGTAGATCTTTTTGAGCGACAAAGCAATGTTTATTCAGATCGGACTCATTGTGTTGTTCTAAATGTGCTTGCGGGTGGTATGCACTGGGCCTGGAGACAAGCAGACGAGTTGTGGAAAAGACAACGCTGAGGAGCTCACGAGTGAGTATTTGTACTGCAAGATCAATATTCATAGTCGCGCTCAATAGCTCCTTAGAGCATTGAACGCTCAAACAGCTAGAGAATATTTCCCTTACCAGGAGACTGAATCTATCATCATGGTCGATCAAATATTAACCGACCCGGAAAACTTTACTGATCATTTCCAACGCGCACCCTCATCTCTTACTCTCTCGATTATCTATGGGTGGCCACCAATACTGGACTCTTCTCACCCAAATATCCTACAAATTGACAAATTCAACCGAGATATTCTTGTGGCAGCAGCACCCGGTACATTCTGGGTTGAATTTGAATACTTCAAGTGGATATAATATCTCCCAAAGTGGATGTGCTCCTGGAGGTGGTATGCAGAGAAACGATTCAGTTCTGATTCGGTTATGCTTGAGGGATTGTTTGTGGATGTGAAACAGCAGATAGTAACTAGACAAACATATTTTTGGACTGATTCAGGCTGATCATGACCATCTTGGTAGGACGCAGGTGATGAGACAACAAGTGTGGCTAGAAAGCTTCTTCAGAATACTGGATGCAGCCTGGAATGCAGCCTCCATTTAGTATGCTGTTTTCATTTCCGCTAGATTCACGATTATCTGATATCTTGTCACCATCAGTTCAGCTGGGGCAGAAACTGTGAGTCTCGTCTGTTTGATATTTGACCAATACAATGAGTCTATATCAATGTTTATCTAGACTTCTGGTCAACTTGCTTGGTTCATGCAAGCAATGATTCTGTATCCTGACACTCAGCGGCTCGCCCAAGAGGAACTCGGTAAGTGGGTTTATGATAAATCTCTAAGCCCACACACAGTACATATTCGCTTTAGATCGTGTCGTCGGACCAGATCGCCTCCCTACTTTCAATGACTATGAACATCTGCCATATATTCAAGCTATAGTCAAGGAAACTCTCCGCTGGAGGGGCGTATCCTCACTTGGTGAGTTCCTAAGTACAGGAGGTAGTAAAACATAGTATCTCGCGCTCATTCTAAGCTTTGTGGTAGGACTACCTCATCGACTGAATCGAGGTGATTACTATGAAGGATACTTCCTACCTAAGGACACGATCTGTTTCGTCAATAACTAGTACAGTCATTAAATATTCCTTGAGCAACCTTACAATGTATACATTCCAGGTCACTACATCTTGACAAGGAGCTTTATGGCGACGACGCCGAACATTTCAATCCCCAAAGATTCCTAAATGCCAACGGAAATCTGGAATTTTTAATTGTAGATACCAATGACGAGGGACATTTTCGTTATGGTTTCGGGAAAAGGTCATGTTGATTTGTATCATGGATTCTCAGTGCTCATTGACGAGACAAACAGGATATGTGTCGGTCGATATATAGCCAACAATAGATGCGAATGGAAAGCCTATCCTTCCAGATTCTCTACAGTTCCAGGACGGTCTGATTGTGTAAGACAACAACTTGACATAGATTACCATGATTTGACTGATGTTTCTGCAGCCGACCGACAACGTTTCAGTGTAATATCACTGCGCGTAAAATGTATGTTGCGAAGATCATAACACAAGCTAAAGCAGATAGAGGGATTTGAGCAAACTGAGATTTCGAGTTTAATTATCATGGTTGCGGGTCCTGTTGTTGACACCCCGTGCTTCTAACGTTGTGCGTGTAATGGGTCCGTTCTTCGACCGTCTACGTTTCATTCGAAAACGATGTTCTAAACGTAATTGACTGGCGCCACTTCGTATTCAAGTTGAGAGCAAGATTAAGAAAGAAGGCAAACACTCGGAGGGAGAGGAGGAAAGGGTCGAAGAAGGAAATAGTATGTTGAGTTCAATCATTCGAGGCTCCTTAAACACACACTTGGTGTAAGATCCATGAAACGAATTGGTATATATCTGCGAGGAAAGTTCCTGCTCGCACCAACGACGGCTTTCATTGGACCATACATGTTTACCATCATGCAGTCATGCACAATCTCGCGATGGGGTGCTGATACTGATTAGTGAAGGACCGCACCTCTTCACCTCTTCTTTGCCCTCGACTAAGTCCAAAGTCTATGTAATACCCAAGATAATGGATCAGTAAGCACTCTATCTCTACCTGTCCATCTAAACAGTCCATGATTGATGCCTGAAGATACAGTAGACGATTAGGTCTTCCACCATAGAGATTCGCCACACAAAGTTTGAATTGTACTAAGCTTTCTTATGATAACGTACAAATTTGCCTCCCAAACTGCAATCGAGAGATCTGTACTTCGTCTTCCCTACGTCGTTCGCGTTGCCTTTGTATCTGGCCGTCTTCCTTCGCCTCTCGCAATGTATACTTGAAATAATAGCTTGGATAAGAAGTGAAGACGCTTGTCGGTATTGAGGAGACAAAATACAGTGAAATCAGCATTAATGGGGTAGTGGTAACCTGGGTCGTTGCCATTAGTAGCAGCTTTCGACCCGCCGGGGGTTCGATTCCCTCTTAATGCAATCTTTTTCTTTTCTTCTGGTAGGTACTGGTAGACTCATCTTGTTATCCAACTATTCCATTTCTCCTTCAATACCCCCCTTGGCTCAATAATCTGCTCCCAGCCAAGATCCTGTCCTCACCTCAATGCAGAGTCACACGTAGGCGGTTGCTTCACGTTCAACGTTGCACGGAACAGAGGCATTCGAAAACATGCAAGTTGATTCAGAGTTTCCAGTGCCGAAGCGTGTCTTGAAAGCATTTGTTGAGAATCACTGGACTAGTTCGCGAATTCTTCGATAGGACGGTCGCATCCCAGTGCAGGAATGTGGTTAGCAGGAAATGGAAAATTACCAGTCACAAAGACGTTCACTTGGTATCAGAATGCTACAGAACTAGGCCAATGGTCCTTCCATAGTCCCTACTAATCCCTCCTGCACGCGATCTTGTTTCGAACCGGACTATAATATCCAATGTACATCGTTCAACCGCCGCAGTAGCTTGTAGAATACACTCATGACATTCCTTCAGTCAAGACTTCCAGTTGATATCCAAAGGTCGCTCGGACCCGATACGGTTTCTTCTATACTCATCTATAACTCATATTCTAAAGACCGAGCAAGAGTGATAAGGAAAAATCAAAAAAAAAAAAAGAGCAAAGCATCTAAATATTACAATTGTGTGTATTCATGAAAGAATCCAATCCGAAAAAAAAGACTTCAACAAAATATTAAGAGGAGGTAGCATACGACGGGGGCGCTGAAGATGAGTGGTGAGCAGAGAAACCTTGAATAGATACGGTATTTGACGAACCTGGGGAACGAGTCGCATTTTGTAGAACAGAAATCAATGAATTTCTCTCCTCATCTGAAAGGTTATCAGCTAGACGAGCAAATCCGTTCATCGCCGCCTTTCTATCTTCCTTCGTCAATTCAACCATCCGGCGCATTAGATAGTCAGCTCTGAGCTGTGACACCGTTTGCGATAAATCGAGTTTTTCCAATGCCTCGGACACTTGGCGGTCATCCGTGGTGGTATCAATGGATGCGAGGGAATCTAGTAAATGCGAACGATACTCGGTTGTCGAACCAGGGCTGGCTTCGATCAGTTCTGCGAGAGCCGCCGAACGTGCGACACGAGCTCGAACAGCCCAGTAGAATTTCCGACGAGCATCCTTCCAAACAGCAGGCTTAGCACATCCCTTCGCTTCCATACGTCCCGTACGACTACACACACACACAGTGTATTGTCAGATCCGATTCCGCTCCTCAGTATAAAAAGACTTACTCGTGAAGGTCTGCGTACAGAAGAGCTATCTGTTTGTAAGTGGGCTGCAAGATAGCTTCGCGTCGTTCTAGAGCAGCAGTGGCCGCAGCGCGTTCTTCCATTGTTTTTGTGCTGTCCTTGCTTTCGCGCTTCAACGAAGCATATTCGGTATCTAAACGCTCCATTAAGGCCGTCATCCTATTCTGACGGAACTTGATCTCGACGATGCCCTCTGGCTCGAGAACACCAGCACGAGCCTCGACGTCGGCGTACATCTGCATCTGTTCAGAGTTGATGGAGGGATCAAGTACGACCCAGGCTCCACCACGAAGTTCACCATTAGGCACAATGTAAACGAAGATGGGTTGTTTGTAACTGGAGAGACCGTCGACAATCTTCGAACCCTGCTTCAGTACCTCATCATACATGTCTTGTTGCCCACCAGAGAAACCACGCCAATTGGCGAAGATGATAAGAGGCAACCCTTCGCGATTAAAATCAAAGATTGCCTGGGCAGTCTTGTAAGCTGAGTTTGGATACCAGACTTGGCCAGCCTCCATGATACGTTGCTCGAATGAAGCAGGGTTGGCGGGATCGGCAGGGACGAGTCGTTCAATAGTCCGCGTCTCGACGGCAATGACACCCATTGGAATACCTCCAAGCCGAGCCCGTCCCACGACAACCGTTTGTGCCCACCCGCTGAGTGTCTCCTGGAACGATCCTTTGTCGAAGAATCCACTCATCCATTCCGAAGTCGTCTCATCCGTCTTGCCTTCGATGAACCACCTAGGGTCATAAGCGCCCTTAGGAGGCGTATACCCAATATCTCGATCCCAGGAATCTGACGTTTCACGAACAGGCAGAGCACCGTCCTTGACTTCGGGAATATAGGATATCCATTTGAGGATATGTGTAGCGCCTTCAAGGTCGCTGCTTGCCGTAAGATGTGAAACACCATTCTTGAACATGATTTGGGTTCCCCCAAGTTGGAGGTTAGAAGTGTAAACTTCGCGACCAAGCACTTTGTTGAGAGCACCGGCACCTGTTAAGATGATAGGTTGTCCTTCGACCTGAACTGCGCGTTCTCCGAGACGAACAAGGTATGCACCGATACCAACAGACCGTGCGGTCACAAGTGTTATCGTGAAAATATCATCGTAAGCCCTCGATGTTTCGCCGGCAATAAGACCGGATCCCTTCAAGGATTCAACTCCAAGACCATCCTGCAGACCAATGATATCGGTGAGCTTGTGGCGTAGCTCCCCTTCTACTTCAATGTCAACAATCTTGATAGAATCGTGACCTTGTTCCTCCAACTTCAGATAATTCTCGTGTGTCAAGTAGAGGTAGTTGACTCCCTTCTCCGGATGTCCTTCCTCGTTCCACGCAGCCGAGAACAAGGGAATGAGTTCTTCGGCCAGACCAATACGAGCGCCTGAATTTGCTGATAGGTAAATTCGAGGAAGACCTAATTCTCTCGCATACTGAGTGACAAGGTAGAAGAATTGATCTTCTACTGGGCCGAACGATCCAATCTTGTAGGTGATGTCGTTCGCTACAACGACGACTCTGCGACCGTGAGGGAATTCTGGAGTGCGCATAGTGAATACCCAACCGACCATACCGAACGTGTTGTTGCCTGGAGCTCTGTCAACTTCGGCAAGTTGATCATGCTCATCGAGCACCAGTTCCTTCGACTCAAGCAAGACCCTGGGCTTGACAAGGGATGGGCTTGTAACGCGGGTAGTGTCCCACAAGTTCTGCAACGCCTTCGAGAACAGGTCGGGGAAGTCATAGACGTATGTAGTGCCGATGAGGTGCGCCTGGTAACGCTTTGGCTGCAAAGATTCCTTCGTTGAATATGCCTGGTGAACAGGTTGAAGATGAAGGGGACCCTTCTCCCCTATCGACTTCAGAATTGTGGTTCCTCTGTCAGTCGTGATTTCTTGGTACCCGTGGTAGTTGACAATGAAACCCGATACGTTTTCGATCACGCAACGAATCGGTGTAACGTTCCCTTCACCATCCTCCAATGCGATTCGGATTTCGGATCCAGTGACATGTAAGCGCCACAAACGCTTGCCGTGTCGTTCAATGAAGCCTGAAATAGCAGCAAGAACATCCTCGTACGTGACAGCGAGGTTGTAGATAAAGTTGAGGAAGATATGATTACAGTCGGTATTTCTTTGCTCGGCAGTCACCAACTCGAGGGCATCCAAGACGGTCGTGACTAGACGATCAGTCTCCGAGATGAGATATTCTGCAGTACTCATACTCCCCCGAAGCCTGCCAGGCCGGACTAGAGCACGGACAAAGAACCTATTGTCCAATTGATTTTCACGAGCAACGGCGTGATAGATGTGAATCTGCTTGCTTTCGACGAAGACGGGTTTGAGCTTGTAGTTGGACAGACGACTGAGTTCAAGTTGGAATGCAAGGGCCGGTTCGATGTTACGAATAGACTGCTCTTCGGTCCACACGCGATCGACTTCGCGTAGAGTAAGATACACGGGATACTGACTGCGTCGGCAAAACATAATGGACACTCGACCTACGCCACGCTCGCGAAGAGTTTTGGACTGCTCATTGACAAAAGCAGTAAGCTTTTCGAACCATGCGTCTTCAGGCATGTCATCTTCTTCTTTGAAAAGACGCAGCGCGACGTTGAGCACGTTGGGCGGTGACTGAGGGTTTCCGTATCGCTGGTTGTATTCAGTTACATCGAAGAGAGGCAACGCGGAGGCAACTGTACTGAAGCCATTTGCCAGTGCGGTAAAATTCGGGAATGATGAGATGGCGCCAACACGAATAGGCTGGGATTGGTGCCGACTGATGAGATAGGTCAGGTCACTAACGGAGGCTGACCTCTTGCTTTCACTGTGAGGCAATCAGCGAAAGTTCACTCAAGGATGGATGAAATACTTGCCCGAATAAGGATATACGAGGCGTCGAAGGGGGAGAGTGTGACTGTCCAAGATTGAAGCGCCAGGTAACTATACTTGGAGAATCTCCGTCATCGAGCACATCGCCTTCTTCGTAGTCAATAGAAAGCAACGTGTAGGCCTTGTAAGCACGACGAATATAAACCTCGAAGGCAGCTTTTGGCTTATTTCAGCATCGATAAATCGTGATGTTCTTAACCACTCACCAAGGGGAACCATGGGGTCTTCATGTTCAAAAAACGCAGAAAGCACATCATATACGGTGTAACGAGAGTCACTGAGTTCTCGCAATACTTCCGCAGACGGTGTATGAGCGGTATTCACCTGCTCGCCGTAATATTGACTGGTAACTGAACTCTTCAAGACGGTCTCCATTTGACCCAGTCGTTCTTCATACGAGGGCATTTGGCCCATGATGAGCACCTCGCGCGCCTTGAGGGACACGGTAGTCGATGATCTGAAGATCACAAAAAAATCAGCAAAGGATAAGGGTGAGAACACCCGCAACATACTTGGCTTCCAAGGAAGCAAGGTCCTGCAATACTTTGTACAATGGGCTCTCCGCATTCGAAACGCTCATCCCACTGCTTTTGATGTGATTAAGAACTATCATTACGAGCTTGGCTTTACTGGAGACCTTGATGTGGCTTAGGACAAGGCTAATGACCTTGTCAAGATCATCCTTGTTCTGCTCACGAAGGGTAAGAATCCGAGCCTCGATACTCCCGCCAAACATCCTCTCCGTAGCCTCGTATTTTTCGAGCAAACCAGACCAAACTTTGACTTCATGTCCCTTTAAACCACCCGCGTATCTA